CTCCCCTCCCTATCTGTACTTTGTTTTGTTACTCTTTTATTGCATGTTACACCAAGTATTTGCCTGTAAATACAACACAAATTTCCAATATCATCTTCGGCGGCCATCTTTAAAGAGCAATTTTTAAAAGCTTCTTTATAAGATTATTTTACAAGTCATTCTGTTTACAAAATGGCAAGATCATGAAGAAGGAGTCGTAGATTTCAAGGGAATCAACATGCCGTGTAGAAGCGGGGAAAACTAAGCCAAAATTCCCTTCAAAAATTGAATCAAAATCGAAGTACACGATCCAGTCGTGTTCAAGATGAAAGCTCTAATAAGGCATCGCATGCAGTCGGCCTCGGCCAGGAACACTGGTGAAATTTATAGTGATACTTTAGTGTCTATGTACAGTGGATAAAGTAAGTGGTTATCGTTTTACTGATATTTCGATCCTGTGCTCCATATATCAAATGTTGCCATGATGCCATCCAATTGACATAGTTTTGATGGATGACAGTTCAAAACCAATGGGCCATGTCTCTCTCGCACATGTAACTCGTGTGAATGGACTGAAACATTTTATACTCCAGAGAAAAATAGCTATTTTTTTACATAAATCGAAGAGTGGTATATGCAATGAGGTCAATTGGTTGTGGGCAACTCCCAATGTCTCGGTTCTCTGTTCTACCATGAACATCCCACCACTAGTTGGCTCAAAGCCATTTAGGGAGCACACGAAAGTGATACAATGGGCTGCAACTGATGTTGCTGAACAAACAATAAAGGATGCAGCACAGAAATCTACAACTCCAAGACTGAGGACGGTGAAGACATTGTGGAAACTGCTGTTTCATGCGATGGAACATGGCAAAGAAGGGGATTTGCCTCGTCGTACGGATGTGAAACCGTCATTTCCATGGAAAATGGAAAAATTTTGGACGTAGAACCCTTGAGCAAGGTCTCCAAAGCATGCATCATTTCAACTTTAGTGCCAAAGCAACTATTGAAGTCTTCAAAGCCTTTGGTAATAAATCCAGGAGCTTTTTGTGTTGCTGGAGTAAAGGAAGCCGATCGGCTTCGTGTTACGAAATCTAGCTACAAGGTGAAGGAGAAGAATAAAGTGTAGAGAAAGGTCATCAGGGGAAGAAATAAGAGGAAAGGTGACAAGAATGAAGTAGAAGAGGGAAAAACATATGCAGCAAGTTCATTTCAAATAAACTTTGATGTAATTTATCTGTTTAAATGTAATTTGTTTGTCTTCAAAAGTTATCGTGCAACTTTGAACTCGATTTTCTCAAAATGACATTTTACCGAAGTCGGGACGCTCTCTCTCATTCAATATTAGTCCAAATTTGATCCAATTTTCAGAATATAATGATTGTAAATAGATCTCAAACCCAAACCTCAAAAATCATATTTATCATTATAATATATCTATAAAAAAAATTTTTTGTCTACAATGAATACCCAATTTTTGCCGATTTTGAAAACAAATTAATTTTTTTTAATGAAATTTTTTCAAATGTGTTATTTTTTGAGGTTTGCATGTTTAATACATCTATTGACTTTCCTTCAAACTTAACTATATATTTTGATGACCATTATTACTCTTGCTATCATGTCCCGAAAAAGGGGTACTTTTTCACTATATAGAAGGGTGTGGCTCGGTAACCATGGAAACAGCACATATGAAGTTTGTATGTTTGGTCTCAGCAAGTGATGTTCTATCATATGCAACATAAACGAAGTTCATAATACTAAAAATAAAAAAATTTAATCATATTGTCCCAGACCACCTTATTAAAACCTATTTTGTCGCTGTGTAATAGACTGCGAGCGGTCCCTCCTTTCCGTGGGTTTAGATTTCCGGGCACGAGAAAGGAAAGGAGGGACTGCAGACAACACATCAAGAAATGAAATCCGCCTTGCCCACACAACGCAAAATTCCCATTGGTCGAAATCGATACGCCTGTCAATCAAATCTGATATGTAGTAATTATGCTATAAATAATTTCCAGAGTGAATGTTGATTTTATACAGGGTGTGTCAAAATAAAGGTAATCGAACTTCGGCGCGCTATTGTGTCTGAATTACTGCGTATGAACGAGATTTTTTCATCTTCGCAAAGATCAGGCTTTTAGCTGTTGAATGATATGCTCTTCATGCCAAATGGATAAAAAATAGGCAAGTACGAGTCTGATAAAAAATGCCTGTCAGAATCGCATATTTTCACCGTTGTAATATGCGATTCTGTCTAATATTTTTTATTGGACACATACTTGCTTATTTTTTCTCCACTTGGCATGAAAAACATGTCATTCAACAGCTAAAAGCCTAATCTTTTCGAATATGAAAAAAATGTTCATACGCCGAGTAATTCAGGTACAATAGCGCGCTGAAGTTCGATTACCTTTTTTTATACACCCTGTAAATAAACATGACATTAACGGTTTCCTATTGGATATATATAATTGGATATAGTAATGTTTATGCAAAGGCCGAGCCAATTTGACAAGAGCGAAAAGTGGGCGTATTTCGTTTCTTGATGTGTTGTCGGTAGTCCCTCATTTCTTCGAGGGACTGCTCGCGATCTACTGTGTAAAAGATATCTGGTAAAATCGTTGCATTGCCGTCGCGAGAAAGATATTGCTTGTGTATCATGTCTGCGACGGCAACGCAAAGCTGCGCGCAATTGTTGCCGAAATTTCAAATAATTTGATTTCCGGCAATGATTGCCGAAAATTGGGAGGTGTGGTCAAGGTTGATGAATGACACGTTTCTTGACCAGCCAATAAAAAGCGTTATGAAGACATATATTGCAGGAGAAATATTGCAGATGTAGCCACCTTGTGCGACGGCAACGCAATGCTGTTATCACCCATTGCGTAACCATCGCAGCAAAAATATTGCTCGTGTATCCGAAGCTTAAAGAGCGGTCAGTGTGATGCTTTACATAATTTTATGCAAAAAAAAGACGTGTTTGTAAACATGCCAACTGGTTCTGGAAAGTCGCTAGTATTTTAGTATTTCATATCGCCCCATTAGCTGAAATGTGGATGTATTCACACGCTCCCAACGCAAAGATATGGACAAAAGAGCCAATTATTATTATTATTAGTCCTCTTAAGCCCCGTTTACACTAGCTACGCTCAATTTTTGGTACAGCACGGATGAAATTGGTACCCGTACCACTTTTTTGGTTCTTGGACTACCTATTTAGGTAGTCCAAGAACCAAAAAGTGGTACGGTACCAAAAATTGAGGTAGTGTAAACGGGGCTTAGCTAAATAGGTAGTCCAAGAACCAAAAAAGTGGTACGGGTACCAATTTTATCCGTGCCGTACCAAAAATTGAGCGTAGTGTAAACGGGGCTTTATTGCCCTTATGAAGGATCAAGTCAAGCGATTGAATGAGGTAAAATATATACAATACGTTTTTAATATATTTATCTCGAATAATATATAGTCTCGAAATTCGACAACAATATTCTTATTCATATTCCGGTCAATCACTGTGTTATTTTAATGTCTATTTTAATATCTTCACCTATTTCTTAAACATATACAAGGCAAACACAACTTGAATATAAAATATACATGTAAAAGAACAGGAGGCGGATACTCCACTACATTTTACACAAAAAAGTTTATACCTGTATTAATTTATTAATGTACAACAGATATGAATGGGCCAGATTGTGGATGTACCTGAACCTTCCAACTTGGTAACTTGGAAATGAGTGAAAAACAGAGGTGTCAGAGTGGCTCTAGCAACTGGGGCCCACTGAGCACCATGCACCAAAGATGTGCGACTTTCTATGGGGATCTGTAGATTCACCGAAATGCCTTTACATGCACTTAGGATCAGCGCATTTAACTCACACATTTAACATCTTTCTCACGCTCACATGCATATGTACTATTTTATCACGCATACCAGTATGATAACCTAGTGGACAACCTCCAAGGTTCATAGGAAATCCTACCGTTTTTTGGACATGAATTCAGATAAATCAATAGGTAAAACATTAATAATTCCTTGAACAGTTGTTGTGCACTGACAAAAGGAGGATATTAACTAAATAAACTCCAATGTAGATAATTTTTAAAATATGTCCAAATAGTGTTGTCTTCATGATATTTTTGTACGTAAGAATTATGTAAATCTTATCCTAAAGTGCATGAAAATTTCAGTGAATCTATGGACCCCTATAGAACGTCGCACACCTTTGGTGCACGAGGGTCTTAATGGGGGTCTTTGGGTGTCAGTTGTCAGCTAAAATTTAAGCCAATTGTCAGTGCGATATATTGCAAGCTGTCAGTAGTCAGTTACTGTAAAATGCTGACTCATCATTTTTTCATCAGTTGTCAGTTAGGATATTTTGTCAGTCAAAAATTCAGGCAAATGTCAGTGGTCAGTTAACGCCTTTCAGACCCCCATGCATGGTGCTCAGTGGACCCCATGCTAATTGCTAGAGCCACTCTCGACACCTCTGTTTCTCACTCATTTTCAAGTTACCAAGCTGGAAGGTCTGAGTTCATCCACAATCTGGCCCATTTGTATATGTTGTACATTAATAAATTAATACAGGTATAAACTCTTTTTGTGTAAAATGTAGTGGAGTATCTGCCTCCTGTTCATTTACATGTATATTTTATATTCAAGTTGTGTTTGCCTTGTATATGTTTAAGAAATAGGTGAAGATAATAAAATAGACTTTGTTGACATTTTTGTTTAATTAATACGTCAGCTTCATTTGACACCATTCATTGTATAAATGACTAAGATTGCACTCAGTCGGAACTGCAAAACTATATAATAAGAAAGAAATTGTGGGCATTCAGAAGCGCCGGAACAGTATCGATAATTGGGAGGCAGATATTCATATATTCGTGTTCACAGACTGTAAAAAAGAAATTTCAAAAGAAATTAATTGGGCAGAACACGAATATATGAATATCTGCCGCCCCCCCCCCCCCCCCCCCCCCCCAATTATCGATATTCCGGCGCCTTTGTGAGCATTATCAAAAACAAGTCACTCAGATAATTTTTTATTCATATACAGGGTGTCCCCAAAAAAGTGACACTATAGAAATTATCCTATTGTTATAATTTGAATGCCCTAGCATTAAGTTGATCCCACAGGTGCATAAACTTCTGCTTCTGGAATTTAAAATAAAAAAGCAAACCGTTTATTAGTGTAATCGTTTTTCTTGATTCGGGCGTTAAAATATTTGGACAAAGAGAAAACATTTTAAAATGCTTAAATGTAAATACAAGTTCAATAAATTCCCAGGCGTGTAATCACGCGCGTTTAAGAGCGGCTTAAAGGCACAGTTCAGCCTTTTGAACGATGGTTTTTTAGGCGCATTTGAGCCCTTTTAATTGAAAAAACTAACTAGGAAAATCAATTAAGCATAATTCAAAATCAGTAAACTCGATGTTTTTGACAATATAAATGTTTTAAAATGTTAAAAACTTTAAGTTTGGTGATCTTGAATTATGCTTAATTGATTTTCCTAGTTAGTTTTTTCAACTAAAAGGGCTGAAATGCGCCTTAAAAACCATCGTTCAACAGGCTGAACTGTGCCTTTTAAGAACAATGAGATAATTTCTATAGTGTCACTTTTTTGGAGACATCCTGTACAATTGTGACTTCCAATTCGGACATCATACTGCTCATTTGACCTTATGCATAATGACATCACAAGGCGCGATGCCCGTGAGGAATGTTGGTCATCGCCCAGGGCAATTGTGACAGATTACGCAACATTACTTTAAATTTATTTGTTATCGTAATACTTCATGTAATAATATTAGAAATATATAAAGTTTCAAACATGGCGCCCAACGTCACGGCAACGTGCCCTTTAGTTTATCGAAAAAGTTATGTTTTAGCGCTATGACCGATCAATTAGAAAGGAAAAAGGCTACCCGTCGTGGGAACAGAGCAGTTATAACGAAATACAGTAACGAAGCGAAGGAATTATTGGCAAATGGATAAAATATCGACGAAAATACGAAGGATCGTTTAAACACGTTGCACGATCTTCTTGAGGAGAAATTACAAGTGGTAAAGAAATTCGACGAAGAAATCTTACAGTTATGCGAAGTTAAAGAAATAGAAAACGAGATTGAAGTATCCGAGGAATTAAATTCACGAGTTCTTGATGTTAAAAAACAAATATCCAAGTTTTTTGCGAAGAAAATCGACGATACGGGAAAAGTACCTATTCACGATATATCTATACCTGGTCAAAATACCCCGCAAGCAGAAATAACAGAGGTAGGTGAAATTTCCTCTGAAATTAATGTCAATAATGAAACAATAAACGAACAGGACAATGTTAATTCAACCCAAGATCCTACACAAAGTAACCCAACCTTAATTCACCCAGACCCTAGTAGTCCAGCAGCCAGTAGTCAATCAAGTGGAAATTACGTCATAGGTTATGGTGGAAAAACGAAGCTTCCAAAGTTA